CGCCGGGAGGGGGGGGGCGCGCGTTCATGAAGCCAATGCACCTGCAATGAACACAAACAGACGTCTATCTCAGCATGTGCTGTTTGTGCCACGCAGGCCACGTTTTTTGCCTATCTGCCAAAAGGCACAAAATCAAGAAGCGTCGGCGTTCCTGCCGCGCGCGCGCGTTTACAGGGCGTCCGCGCGGTCTTGTTGTTGTTGTTGCTGCTGTTGTTGTTGTCGTTGTCGTTGTCGCTATCGTCGTTGTCGTTGCTGTTTTCGTCGTCGTCGCCGTCGTTATTGTTGCTGTGGTTCCTTCTGTCCGTACTGTGCCACCAGTGGCCAGTGGCAGTAGCAGGGGTCGCAGTAACAGCAGGCATAGGAGAAGCATATGGAGGAGCAGGAGGAGGAGGAGTAGAGGCACAACGATCGTTACGACTGTGGCAGTTTCGACTACCAGTACCATTACCTCCTCACTTGCGAATACGAGCCACTAGCTCCTAATTGCGACTTGCCATATAAGGACGAACTGTTCTGAAGGACACAAGCCTCAGTAGTTGCAGTCGTGTTGGCAGCATCATACATCCTGGTAGTAGTCGTCGTAGTGGCGCTGGCAGCTGCAATCGTCGTCGTTGTCATTGGAGTAGTAGTAGTGTTGGACTAGTGTTGGGGCCGCTGATAGTAGTCGTAGTCGGCGCGATCGTGGTAGCAGTGGTTTCCGCAGAAGCAATTTTAGCAGCAGCCGTAGTACTTGTCCCAGTATCAGTGGCAGAACCGGTAGAACATGGTAGAACGAAGCATCACAGGCGATTCAGATCGGCTTGATGCGCGGAGCCTTCTCGGACGTGTATCGTGACAACATCATGTTCTTCCTGCTCGGACTCTTTGCTGGGTGCCTATACACTGAGTCAATCTGCATTCATGTCTTTTGCCAGTTCTGAAAACACCACAATCGGAGCGGAGTTTGAGGTGATACCCGCGCAGCAACAGTAAAAACTGTAATCGAGCAAAGCTAGAAGGAAAAGCTTTCGGTGGTGCGGCCCTAGTAAAGCATGCTCCGACTGCTACCACTGTGGTGCGAACGTGTTCTGGCAGCCGATTCCGGCACAGTCATGTTCAGAGATCGCAGGAAGCAAGTAGACTTGATCATGACCATGAATCGCAATTTCCTGTTGTACGTCGATTGGCTAAGCTGCCATGGACAGACAGTGGGCTGAGGCTCTTCGCATCAGCATCAAAGTTGCTTGCACCAGCTTCATGTGCGAGCTCATGTGCCGATCTCAGAACACGAGCCGTGCACACGATTCTTGAGAAGCCCCGAGCCACAAGCCTAAGCGTCTCAGTTCGGTTCGAGACATCCGCGGACTCGCTTTCCTCTTGTGATGCGCAAGTGCCGACATGCCACTCCTTGCGGAATCTCTGCCTTGCAGGCTCACGGTGCCCATTGCCATCACCAACCAGGCCAGGACCGTCTACTTCAAGGTTCATGGCTAGTATTTAATGGACAAGGTAGCTATGATAGGTTTTGTGAATCAAGCAGAATCAAGCAGCAGTGGTGGTGATGTGCTACATCCCCAATCGAGATACCCCTAGGCCTACGTTTGACTGAACATGAATCTTGAAAGTGGAGTGTGCTTCGAGGAGGCAGGCAGCCGCATTATGCGCTAAGAGTTTCAATGTATCCCGTGAGCCCATAGGCTTCAAGCTCCCATGCCAGAAGCCGTACACCCTCAACTAAGGTTTGCAGACACTAAAGTCCTGAACCAGGTCTATAATGCCTTAACATGTAGAAATTCCCCCGGCACCAAACCCGAAACAAAGCAGTGTTGTAGCATAAACTCTGGAGCACTGAGGCTTTCAGCTCCAAACCCGACATTTCATCATGAACCCTGCATACCCTAAACATCCCTAAACCCAATCGCCAAACGCTGTAGACCCTGACCCTTAAACCACAAGCCAAAAGATCCAAACTTTGACACCTTCGACCTTGTAGTTCTACATCCCCCTAAGCATTGTAGACACAAAGTTCGAAACCCTCTGCCTAGCCTTCCTATCCCTTGTCCGAGCCCTTTGAAAAGAAGATCCTGTTTGTCAACCTTTGTGCTCATGTGTTTCCCACCCACTGCAAAAATCAGAGACATTCCCAGACTATGGCCGTGTTCACGCTGCTCGCGGCACCGACGCTCTTTGACTTCTTGGCCGCTCCCTCACCTTTTCCAGTTCGCAAGTTTGGAAGCGGCCGTGGTAGTGATGGACAAATTCCTGCACCACCATAGCAAGGAGTATACCCTGGTTTCGAGATGTAAGTGCTTGGGGGCCATGCAGACTTCTGTCCACCAGCAGTACGTGAGCTCGCTGAGTGCCGTGAGGTCATGTACGTGGCCTTGATCGGCCTTCAGATGATCGAGAGGATCTACATCGGCCCCAACGAGGTGCGCCGTTAAACCCTTCAGCTCTGAATTCGTCTTCTCAGGGTGACGATCGTACCCTTCTGACTCCCGCGATTGCCGTGTTTGCCTGTTTTTGTTTGCGAGCATTGCTCTCATTGCATGTCGCCTTTGCAGGATGTGGTCATGGGCAAGCTGGCGCAGTGGAAGCGCACCTTCGTGCTCTCGGCACGCTTTGGAGCCAAGCTGAGTTCGAAGCCTTCCATTTCAACGGGCTAGAAATTCTGGGCGACCTTAAACAGTAACTAGCTCTTTCATTTTTTTCTGACACGGACTAGCTAGAAAAGCCCTAAGTCCCTAAACTCCCAACACCCTCATAAGCTCTGCTCCCATGGATTCCAGTCAGTGGTAGACTCCTCTGCCAGGATGGCTACATGAAGTCCCTGAGCGCGGCGAAGCCCAAGAAAGCTGATGACGATGAGGATTCTCCGGCATACCACGAGAGTTACCTTTGTCATTCTTGCTTTACATAGTGCTCAGGTAATGCTACTGTTATTGTTACTTCATAGTATGAGTATTTCTGCTCTTTCGACTGCTACTCGTATGCCATCATGATAAGGGTTGGTAGCATACAGGCTGTCAAAAGAGTTGCTACAGGAGCTCTTCCAGGGGTTACTCTGAGGGTTTACTGTGGCACACCTCGCCTTCCCATGTCCACAGGTGTAGATTTCTTCAGTGCATCCCGAGCTGCACAGGAGTCTGAAGACGAGAAGAAGTTCGAGGAGGGGATGATTTTGGGGTTTGGGGGTGGTTCAGGGTTCGGGGCTGTTCCGGGCTTAGGGTGGTTTGGGCTTCGAAGGTTTGGTGCGGCTTAGGGTTTGGGGTGGTTTAGCGGTTCAGGGTCTCCGAATGTCCTCATTCCAGCTTCCTTTGTCCGAGCTTTGTCGGCGTGAGGACCAAGACAAGCTGGAGGTGGAGGGCGAGACCGAGGCGATGTGATTCAGTGATTCCCTTTCATCGTGGTGATAAACATAGGAACAGGGATGGAGCGACAGTTAGAAGTGTGATTGTGATCATGCTTGTTCTTCTTAGCAGCAGCGGGAAATATTGCTAAGAGGAGGTGCAGCGATGTCAGTGATCGTCCTCTCCATGGGCCATGCATCGCCGCAATCACCGTCATATGCATAACTGTACGAAAATAAAGGCTTCCTTGCCCTCGTCGGGTGCCTTATTACAACAATAGTATAACATTCCCCAAAACATAGGCGCGTCCGATTTGGACCCTCAGCCTCACGAAAAAAACCCAAAACGTGTAAAACCACTCTCTTTTCACGCTGCTCTGATTTCAGTCCTCGACACCCCAAAACCCTACGCTAATCATTGAGGCCCCTGCAGCAGTAATGTGGACAACGGGCACAACTCGCGGCATCGGTACGAATTTTACGATGTCCTGCAGCATGCAGGAGGCATTCTTGTCAGGAGATGGTCTCCTTCTTGGCCACCGTGTCTGCAGACTCTATCGCCAACTTGGTGGTGCCCACTTTCTATGCGGCTTTGTGCTCAGCGCGGCTGCTGCCACCATCGAACCGTAGATTCACGGAGTCAAGAATTGTTTCCGGGGCCTTTGGATCCTGAGCCCTTCCTGTCGCCCAGTTCTGCATGTTGATGTTCGAAGAGTCCCGGGTGCTCAGCAACTTCAGGACTGAATGTCATCAGGGCTTATTTGGGAGTTTCCGAAAATTAGGGTACCCTATTTTGGGGTCCTTTTTCTAAGGATCCTACTATTTTTTTGGTATTACATTAGAGTCCCCGATTTTCTGAAACCTCCTATTTCTTGCTTTCACGATCGGAGCTCTGCGGCCGGCAGGATTCCGCAGCACAATGCCGAGTTCTACTTGCACCGACCTTGGCAATGTACATGGCTGTGGGAGTTGTTCTTAGCTCGCGCTGCAGCACTTGGCTTTCCTGTCTGGTGCTTAGTAGGGAATGGGGGAATGGATCCCTATGCTAGTCCCTTAAGGTCCCTTATAGTAGTCCCTATAACCCATTCCCCCATTCCCTACTAAGCACCAGACAGTTTCTGAGCATCCAGGGTGAAGAACATTCGGATCTGGAGCTGCCTCAATTCGACGGCCAGGTATTTCTACATGCTGATGCTCCCTTTCCAGATGATTGCCGATCGAATTTGCTTCAACATTGTTGAGTGCTATCACGGCCGGGCGCCCGTCCTAAACCCCAAACCCAAAACCCTGAACCCGAAAGCCGAAACCAAACGGATGCACCCTGCGAGATGTTTGGGGCGAAGATCGGGAGCTGAATGTCCCCTAAACCCTAAACCCTAAAGGCCCTGAACCCTAAACCCTATAAACCCTAAACCGCCCCCATCCCCCAGCGCAAAGTGCAAAGCCTTCAGTTGAGGGGTGAAGGCGCCTGTCCAAGCGGAGGCGGCCAATCATAATAATTTATAATTATAGTTGTAATGGGGTTTAGGGTTTAGTGTTTTGGGTTTAGGGTTTTGGATCATACTGATCATAAAGTATAACAGTAAGGAATCATAATGGTCAGTTATAACTTGTAATAATGCGAGTTGTAATTAGTAATGACAATGATAGTAATCATATTGGTTATGACAGCTATCATAACAGTATGACTCGTATACATGAGTCACATTGACATAAAGAATGATAACGACGAATACAGAAGTAGAGTGACAATCTCCAAACCCCAAAGCCCAAGTCCTTAAACCCCACAGAGACCAAGGCTGGAAGGTCACGGACTATTTGGAGTATTGCCGGGCTCTTGGAACGCAGCAGCGCTTGGGGTTCAGGGTTTAGGACTTGAAGTTTTGGAGTTGAGGTTTATCTCTTTGATATCCAAAGCTCAGTTTAGTCGATTTGGGGTCTGGGGGTGAGGGCCGGTGAGGGTGTCTCCGGAGGTGTAGTATTGGGGGCTGTACAGTTTCGGCACGGACGGGCCCCTTCCATCACAGAAGAGCAAAGCCTTTTTCGGCAGAGCGGCGCAAAACTCCATCTAAGCGTCTATGTCAATGCTTGGTTTGTCGATATGATTGCGAGTGTTCCCACTGCCATCGTTATGATGACATGCTTGCAGTTGTTATTGCTGGTACAATCACTGCTTACCGTTCTTACCAGGATGGCCCTGAGCTCGGGGAGAAGACTCAGCTCGGAATGTGCATTATTATGCGCTTTAAGTCCCTGAATCGAGGAGAGGCTTCTGCTCTACATGCGACAACATCCTAACGGATAGTGCCATGTAGACTCCCAAAATCCTCACGGCCACCATGTACGTTGCCATAAAGGCCCCGTTCAAAGAGGCCGTAAACCGAGCCTCCACTTCAGGCGCCTACCGTTTCCTGGTCCGAACGACCGACTGGAAGGCGGCAAAAAGCAAGACACCGCGAGTTGAGGGCCTTAGGCCCAAGAGGCTCTAAGATTCGGGTGAATCAGAGGTTTGCGGTACCTGTGACAAGTGACAAGAGAAGACTGCTCCATGGCTAGCCTTCGAAGTCGTCCGCCTACAGTAGTGTCCGAGTGCATCTACCCTGAACCAAAACACCTCGTCCAGGGCAAGGACAACATCCTCGACCAGACGCTCTCACCGCACGTGCATCTGGGCCGCAAGATTGGTTGTTTAGATATTCGGCTTTTGGGGTTGGTTCGCGGCTTCCTCTGTAGCTAGAACTTGTATTCTCTGATGGTTCTATACTTATGTTGACTTCATTTTGATGACCCCCCCCCTATTGCTGATGATTGTTTTCAGGCGCAGGCATGGGGGTTGGACTATTGGAGGGGCGGTCCCAGTGCTGCTACGCTCGCTGATTCTCTCCGCGACTCTGAGTGCTGACAGAAGGGCTTCAAGTGTTCGATTAGGAACCAGGGGCGAGATTATTATTGAGTTTCCGGGGTCGAGTTTTATAATTCAGGGGGGGGTGATAGTTGAGGTTCCAGGGTGGAGCTTTATAATTGAGGGTGCCTTCATTGAAATGAGGTGAACATGAAACCTGATAGAAGAACCGCTCCCGATTTTCCACCTTCTCATGCCACGGATCCCGACGCGGAGCCCCAACAGACTCCCCAAAAGCAGGTCTTTGAAAGAAAGCACTCAACCCATGAACCCTAAACCTCAAAGACTCTAAACCCTAAACCCTAAACCCCAAACCCTAAATCCTAAACCCTAAACCCATGAACCCTAAGCCTCAAAAACCTCCCAGAACAGGAAGCCTTGATCACCAGTGTCCTTCCTCATGCACCTAATAAACCTTGTGTTTGTGTGAATACTTCTTCGTCAACCGGTGGTTATGGTTCTTCATCATCTTCTTCTTCATTAATCCAGTTAAAAGCATCGACTGCCATATTTATACCCTGTCCTATTCCTTGACCCAGGCGCTCCATTGACCAAATGTGCTTCTCGGACCAGCCGAGACCCGAGACCAAGCGGAGCTCCAGAGTTCTTCGCAGTCGTAACAAAAGGGACCTTATGATACTTACCTATACTATTTTGGGGGTTCCTTGGTATAGTTATGGTATAATATACCCAAAACCCTGTTCTAATTATTAAGGCCCTAACAATACATGGTGACTTTTCTTTTGGTTTTGGGGTTAAGGGTTCCGGGCTTTGGGGTGTGGGTTTTTGCTACTTATCTTCGGGGTTTAGGGTTGTGGTAATTTCCGCTGTAGTACCCGTCGATTATCGAGAGAATACTGAGATGCGAAAATATCTCTAGTTTCCCTCGTGGTAGCTGTTACTGCAAGTCTGCTCTTTCTTTGGTGACCATGCTTGTGGCTGTTGGGTTTCGGGTGGCTGACATTGCTCCTTGTGGTCTTACGGCTACTTTCGGTTTGGCCTCATGGTGTAAAGATGGCCCAAACAGAGTCATTCTCATGCCTGCACCGGCAAAGGCTAAGACTACTTAAGGTGTGGTGTTTTGGGAAATTTGTTTGATGATCCGTGTTTCACAGACCATCATGCCGACATCGCGTATTTGACGTCCGGGGGTACATAGATGGCCCTTGAGCCTGACAAGTCCATTCCGAAAGAAGCCAGCCAGCTATCTCGAAAAAAGACCAAAGCCCACCCACATCGCCCAAGACCCCAAGACTCGTGACACTGCGGTTTCAATTACGTATCATACGAGTAGGAGCAAGCTGCAGTCTAGTCATCGCGATGGGCATGCTGAGGATACCAAGGAGAGAAAATCGCTATGCACTATGCCTGAGAGGAAAAGCCCCTCAACATCTGCAGGTTTTACTTCGTCTGCCTCATGCAGTGCATTGGGGCTATGTCATTGGTCTTCGGAATGCAGATTATCTTCGAAGCTGGGTAGGGCCCTCACAGCTCTTTGTTTGGCTATTTGGTCTTCGGGGCCCAAGGGTTTTGGATTCGGACTTTGGCATTGGAGGTCCAGAATCTATTTGGGCAGTTCTCGAAATTAGGGTCCCTTTTAGGGTGCCGTACTATATTGGGGACCTAGAAAGGGACCCTAATTTAGAGAACTAACCCATTAAAATGATTTTGATTTCGAAAGTTGGGATCCGCAGGCAGGGACTGGGGTCAGAATCTCTGGCTTTGCGCGTCAGGCAGCTGTATCCTGGATTCCTGGCGAGTTCATGTCATGATTCAGAAAGCCTGAATCCCCAAGCTTACCATAAATTCAAGATCCTTCATGAAACTTTGAAGCCAGAACTTTCAAGTTCAGGGAGCACAATCTCGGATCTTCGTGTTGGAGCTGGAGTTCAATGGTGATGGTAATGAAAACGACGACGGTGATGATGGCAGTGGCGGTGGTGGTGGGGCCCCGGGGTCCTAATTTAGGGTTCAGAGGATTCCAGGCGGCATTGCGTCTGCGGGATATCTCCGAGCAGCTACGATGTAGTTGTGATGTCAAGCAACGAAACCAAGCTCGTGGTACGTATCATGGCTTGATGTCCTCATCGCCTTGAACCAGCTCCTTTGCATGTAGCAGACCGCAGTAGCAGCTATCATACTGTTGCTCTTGCAGTAGCCCTAGTAGCAGATGAAACTCCCGAAAGCAAAAGAAAGTTCTTGAAGCAGAACGCCCTAAGGCCCTGAACTGCCCTAAGCCCTGAACCCCAAACTCCTAAACCTCAAACCCCAAACCCTAAACCCCAAAGTCTGAACCTCGAACCAATCCCTAAACAACTAAACCCCCAAACCCCTAAATCCTAAACCCTTAAGCCCCTAAGCCCTAAACCCTAATAGTATATATTAAGTAGTAATAATAATAAGAATCGCAATAATACGTGGAGGCCCAGGGGACGTAGTAAGTAGGTTATAAGTAGAGTTATAAGTACTCTAAATGGAGTTACCCCAATTATACGTAACCCTATTGCTAACCGACTTACTAAGTCTCCTGGGCCTCTATATAAGTAGTAATGAGGTGGAACATGTTCACCCTAGACCCGAGACCCTAAAACCCTAAATCCTCGACTCTCAACTCTAAACCCTAAACCCTAAATCCTGTCCTGTTTAGGTGGAACATGTTCGAGGATCCGGCGACTCCCGTCGTCCTCGGGTACGCCTTGTGCCTGTGCCGAGGCTGCTGCCTCCGCCTGTCCTCTGCGCCTTTCTGAGGGTTTAGAGTTTAGGGTATAGGGTGTAGAGTTGAGGGCTGAGGGCTGAGAGTTGAGGATTTAGGGTTTTAAGGTCTAGGGTGCAGGGTTTAGGGCTTAGGGTGGGGGATAAGGGGTACATTTCAGGGCTTTTTATAGGGCGACTTCATAGAAAATCCCCGAAACCCTCGAGCCCCTGCAAAGCAAGTCAGGCACAAGCGCCATGACGGGGGTCTCTGCGGGATACTTGAAGATCTGGGCCGGAAGCTGAGGCTTAGGGTCTTTCTTACATGCAGGGCTTAGGGCAGCTGGGGAGCCAGCGAAACCTATCTGTCTGTCTGTCTGTCTGTCTGTCTGTCTGTCTGTCTATCTTATAAGTGTAATAATAATAATATTATTATTATTATTATTATTATTATTATTTCTATTATTATTTTTATTATTATTTTTTATTATTTTTATTATTATTATTATTATTTTTATTATTATTATTATATTTTTGCATTTGAGTGCTGTCAGAGGAGTACGCAGCCTAATTAAAAATGCACACGAAACCTCTGACTGCCAGTATGCACTAGCCGATGTTAGACACAAGCTGAGCAGAAA